AGAGAGAGAGAGACGAGAGACAGACAGAGACAGAGACAGAGAGAGAGAGAGAGAAAGGAAGGACCCGCCAAGCGCAAATCTAAAAGCGAAACCTCTCCAGGGAATCCCGCTGGTCCTCTCCTGACATCGAGACAGCGCCAGACGCCCAGCGCGAGGACGCAGCTGGGGGGGCGGCAGACGAGCGCGGGGTTCCAGGGCGAGAAAGAAAGGCCTGCGAGGCTTCAAAGAGGCAAGAGCGAAGTCAGTCTGCCGGTGACAGACTCATTACAGAGGCGGCGGGGTGGGGGCCGGCCGACCAAGGCAGACCCCGCCGCGAGGACGCTCTTCTCCTCCCTTCACTTTTACACAAGCCTCACGCCCACGCACGCCCACGCACGCCCGCCCACGCACGCTCATACGCCCCACGTACTCCCATGGGCCATTAATATAATATTTAACCCATACCTTCCTGCTGAGGTCCTGCGAATAATCCCTCTCTTGTTATTATCACTCCGACGAGCAACAGGTCTTGTGCTCACGGGTCGCCTCGTTTTCTATGACTTGTTGCGTCAGACGATATAGAAATTGGAGGTGAATTTTGCATACGACCTTGCGGCAAGGACTCCGGTATACATGGGCGTGTGTACGTGGATGCTTATATTCAGATGTACTTACATATACACGCACATACAGACATACACCACACGTATATGTATATATCTATAGCTATATATATATCTACTCTATATGTATATCTGTGAGTATGTGTGTTTGTGTGTTATATTTGTGTGTGTGTGTGGTTGTGTGTGGTGTGTGTGTGTGTGTGTGTGTGTGTGTGTGTGTGGTGTGTGTGGTGTGTGTGTGTGTGTGTGTGTGTCTGTGTGTGTGAGTATGGGCTAAATATTTGAATAAGTGAATGACCATCTCATATCTCTCAGAGCCTCCACCATGTCGCTTTCAAGAGCCTCCTCCTCCGTTTCTTTTATTGTCAATCAAATTCCTCAATAATAAAAGCACGTGGCGTCTCCCTCGGTATTATTTGCGGCGTGCTAATGACTTCCCTTTTCCCTTCCCTTCTCCTCTTCTCAGCATCCCCCTTTGGCTCTCGTCTTCTCCCTCCTCCCTCCCCTTTTCCCTCCCCTTCTCCTCCTCTCAGCATCCCCACTTTGGCTCTCGTCTTCTCCCTCCTCCCTCCCTTTATGCCCTGTCTTTATCGCGTGTTCATCATCCCCCCTTTGGCTCTCGTCTTTCTCCCTCCTCCCTCCTCCTTTCCCTTCCCTTTCTCCTCTTCTCAGCATCCCCCCTTTGGCTCTCGTCTTTCTCCCTCCTCCTCCCCCTTATGCCCTGTCTTTATCGAGTGTTCATCATCCCCCTTTTTCCTCTCATCTTCTCCTCCTCCCTCCCCCTTATGCCCTGTCTTTATCGCGTGTTCATCATCCCCTTTTGCCCTCATCTTCCTCTCCTCCCTCCCCCTTATGCCTCTCTTTATCACGTGTTTCACCATCCCCTTTTGCTCTCGTCTTCCCCTCCTCCCCTCCCCCTTATGCCCTGTCTTTATCGTGTGTTCACCATCCCCCTTTTGCTCTCATTTTTCCCCTCCTCCCTCCCCTTTATGCACTGTCTTTATCGCGTGTTCAGCATCCCCCCTTTTGCTCTCGTCTTCCCCTCCTCCTCCCTCCCCTTATGCCCTGTCTCTATCACGTGTTCACCATCCCCCTTTTCCTCTCATCTTCCCCTCCTCCCCTCCTCCTTATGCCTGTCTTTATCGCGTGTTCACCATCCCCCTTTGGCTCTCGTAATTTCCCTCCTCCCTCCCCTTCTGCCCTCTTTCTATCACGTGTTCATCATCCCCCCTTTTGCTCTCAGCTTCCCCTCCTCCCCTCCCCCTTACG